ACGGCACTCCGTGTCGACAGCTCAAGAGGGTGCCACTAATGGTAAATTCCGCTCGCAGATCTCGAGCGCTCCAAAAGCGCTCCATTTGGAGCGCGCATATTCCGCTCGTAGATCTGGCTCGAGTTGGTCATCTTCCGCTCGTAGATCTCTGGCACCGCCCGCTCCACGGAGCGCCCCAAACCTCGCCGAACTTGCTCTGCGGGAGTTGACAGATCTCTCCGGAAATTGACAGGGCGGCCCACGTGATTTCCGTCTAAATTGGCAGCGCGCATGCGCGGCGAGGTTGGAGAGGACTTGGCGGGCCGGTCGGGGCATCGAGTTGGAACTGTGTGGGTGCGTCGGTTGTCTACGCGGGATTGTGACGGCTCGAACGCTTGTACCTCGCGTACATCAGGGATACAAAGCCAGGACTGTGGAGCGTGGTAAATCGTAAGCGCTGACATCTGTGATTGTGAGAGGAAGAACGACAGAAAAGCCGGAGGCAGACGCAAGGTTAGGCCTGTTCATTCTGCAGCCATGATTGTTTACCTTTTTACACTGCATTCCGCCGGCGCTTTAACGTGAAATAAAGCAAGAAGTGACTAGGCAATGACCGCGCAAGTGATTGTTTCTTACCTCTGTGTTTATTAAAGCCGTACCAGAAATCTGAACTCCACCGCTGGCAATCGCTGTCCGTGCCCCGCCGCTTCGAGGTGGCCGAAAGGTATGCGACGGTACCGAACGCGGACGCATTCGTGATTTGTGACATGGGCGCCGTGGTATGTATAATTTCGCCCGGCCTGTGTCGCGTGTTTTTTCTGCAGCTAAGCAGTGACAATCGTCACTGGTCGTCGGAAAGATCAGTCGGTTGAGGCGTTGGTGGGCTTGTCAAGTTCGAGCAGCGGCCATTTTAAACGGCGAAGGGGGAAGCCGGGAAGCGGTGGGGAGGGGTGTGGGGGAGGTCGCTCCAAAAATGCAAGTTTATCTTCCCCTCGTCGATTCGGAGCGGGTCCCACGGAGCGGAATTTTGCCTCCCTCGCGGATTTTTGAAAGCGCTCCGGATCTACGAGTGGAATTCACCATAAATCATGTCCTGGATAGGATGTATGAAGCGGGCGGCCAGGGCGGCTCCGATTGTGTTTGCTGCGTGACTACACACTAATTAGGCATAGCACTTCATTGGCCAGAAACGACAGCAAAAATGGGGTATATATGAGTTCAGAACCGAAGCGACTTCGCGCTGCCAAACCGCCGAAAGACAAAACTGGAAGCCAAAACTGCTCGCCGAAGGTCCTCGGAACGCTCGAAACCGGTCGGACCCTCGAGCCCATACGACCACCGCGCCGCCGCGTACATCCGGGACCCTTCTACGCTCGGAGCTCGTCACCGCCTGATCGCACTATCCCTTTCTAGTATGCGCCGCCTTTTCCACCGCTTGGTCGCGGGTATGTCGACGGGTCATTTCCTGTTTCCTTACTTTATAAACACCATTTGTTTGTTTTCTTATCTAAAACACTGAACAAAAACTACTTTCATAAATAATTGAAACGGTTCGCGCCACTTATACTTTGTATTTCGACTAAAAAACAAAAGCTTTTAAGGGCTCTGACCAGTAGTAAGGCCCGGACTAAAAAGGTCACGACGTTGCCACATATCGCGCGCTTTCGGCACCGCGGGTCGCCCCGTAGGTGGAGGAGGTTGGCGCGTCGTCCCGTGAAAATATGACGCACTGATCATTTAGTTAATCTCTCCGTGCCCGCTGGCTTGTCCGAACATTAAGAGATGTGGAAATCGCAAAAAAATGTAGATTCTTAATTATGATCCCAGGGTTCCTTTAAAAAAATTTGACACCCGATGGCCACCTTTATGAGAACGAAATTAAGCGGTGTTTCTGAACACCCTCTACAAAGCTTGTATTGCATGGTTTGCAAACAAAAATAACACTTAAACGAGGAGCAAATCAATGTGATTCACTCGACCAGACAATCACATCTGAAAAAAATGACCCCGCTTGCTGAATAAAGGGAAACTCTGGTTGAAAATGAAACCACATAATAACTGGTATCGCTTCAGTGACAAAATATTGTCACGGGTGGTGACCAATAAACAAGAAATAAACAGAAATAAATAAACGTTTAATGTGGCGAACTTGTGCCAAAAATAAAAGGGTACAAAAGATAATAAGAGAGCGTCGCGGGCGTCGAAGTCGGCATAACATCAGAGTCGAACGCTGGGGCGAAACTGACTCCGCTCGCCTTGCGGAACCCTTATGTAACCTCATGGGTTTCTGGATCGTTCGGCGTAGAAGGTTTGGTGTGTAGAACATTCTAACCTCGAATCAGCAAGACGGTTCTCGAATTCACTAGAACATCAAATTACACTGTCAACAAAAATGTGTAGTCGCGGCCAGGAATCGAACCCTGGCCTTCTGAGTGGGAGGCAAGCGCGATAACCGTTAGGCCACGCGCGCGCTGTCTACTCGGCCAGCTGCGCGGGCGGCATTACTCCCCACTTTAAAAAGTGCATCGTCCCGATGCAACCCAAAAACAAAACGAAGCAAATAAAACAGAACGGTAAACTAAAGGGTCATTTGGAACACATAAGGCCCACAGTCCTATCGAGCGTAGTACGGCTTCAGTCGCACGACGTGGACGACCTTAGGTCGTGGTGGGCGGCGTGACGATGTTCGTGTCCTGTCGGGCATCACCTCGTAGTTCAGCTCGCCGAGGCGACGAAGTACCTTGTATGGTCCAAAGTACCGTTTCAGCAGTTTCTCACTGAGGCCGCGGCGACGGATGGGCGTCCACACCCACACCCTGTCTCCGGACTGGAAGTGAACGTCCCTGCGACGAAGGTTGTAGCGGCCCGCGTCGACGCGTTGCTGGTCTTGAAGCATGAGTCGGGCGAGCTGGCGGACTTCTTTGGCGCGTTGAGCAACTGCCTGGGCGTCGTGGCTCTCATTGTCAGATGGCTCATGGGGCAGCATTGCGTCCAGCATGGTCCTTACCTTCCGACCATGTACCAGCTGGAAAGGTGTGAATCCAGTGTTCTCTTGAACCGCCGTATTGTAGGCGAACGTGACGTAGGGCAACACCTCGTCCCACGTCTTGTGCTCAACGTCGACGTACATAGAGATCATGTCGGCGATTGTCTTGTTGAGTCGCTCCGTCAGCCCGTTGGTCTGCGGGTGGTATGCGGTGGTACGACGGTGGCTGGTGTGACTGAGCCGGAGAATTTCTTGGGTCAGCTGTGCCATGAACGACGATCCGCGATCTGTAATCAGAACTTCGGGAGCGCCGTGCCGGAGGACAATGGAATCGAGAAAAAACTTGGCGACTTCAACCGCAGTCCCCGGAGGAAGGGCTTTCCTTTCTGCGTACCGCGTGAGATAATCTGTGGCGACGATTATCCAACGGTTTCCCAGGGTCGACGGCGGAAAAGGACCAAGTAGATCCATTCCGATCTGCTGGAACGGTGCAGTTGGCGGAGGAATTGGCTGCAGGAGACCTGCCGGCTTTGTCGGCGGTTTCTTGCGTCGCTGACACTCGTGGCAGGATCGGGTGTAGTGGTGGACGGTTTTGGGGAGCTTGGGCCAGTAATACTTTTCACGAATAAGGGCTAATGTCCTGCTGTATTCAAGGTGTCCGGACGTCGGGTCGTCGGGACATGCTTGAAAGATCTCCACTTGAAGGTCGGTCGGGATTACAAGCAGCCACGTCGAGTTGTTGTCCCCGAAGTTCTCTTTGTAGAGTACACCTTGTGGAATGGCGAAGGTTGGCAGGGCTCGTGAGAAAACACGGGGCACGGTACTCACGCGCCCTTCCAGGTGCTCCATTAAGGCGCGCAGCTCCGGATCGTCTCGTTGACGTCGTGCCATGTCATCGGTGTTCACCGACCCAGAGAAGACTCGCGCCGTCGCGTCATTTCCAGCGCCGACAGACAAGGAGGCCGTGCGAAGGTTCCTTGGACTTAGTGCCTAGTATCGTCGCTTTGTTCGGGATTTCGCAAGGATTTCCGCACCACTCACAAACCTCACGAAGGACGCCGAGAGGTTCGAATGGGCCGAGGAACAGCAGCAAGCATTCGACGAGCTGAAGCGACGACTCCAGACGCCTCCGGTTCTTGGACATTTCGATCAGGATGCGGACACCGAGATTCACACTGACGCAAGTAACGCAGGACTTGGCGCGGTACTAGTTCAAGTACAAGAAGGCACCGAGCGAATCATCGCCTAGGCAAGTCGGACACTGTCCAAGGCAGAGAAAAATTACTCCACGACTGAGAAAGAATGCCTTGCGGTCGAGAATTCGAGAACCGTCTTGCTGATTCGGTGTGTAGAACATTCTAACCTCGAATCAGCAAGACGGTTCTCGAATTCACTAGAACATCAAATTACACTGTCAACAAAATTGTGTAGTCGCGGCCAGGAATCGAACCCTGGCCTTCTGCGTGGGAGGCAAGCGCGATAACCGTTAGGCCACGCGCGCGCTGCCTACTTGGCCAGCTGCGCGCGCGGCACTATGATCACAGCCGAACTATTAAGTCAAAGTGAAGTGTCGTATTTTATTGAAACCGGTTTTAAAAATGCGACCAGCTCCATTATAGGATGTGACAAGCGGGTTACCTTTTAGTCAAGCAACACTGGGCGACGCGTACTATTGTGGCGTCAGGGCGCGACCCTACAGCTTATATGCGTTTTGTCATCTCTCTCTAGCACATAGTTTCGACTCTGCCGCACACGTCTCTACCCAAACTTTGATCCATGAAATTTATAAAACTACAAACAATGTCAAGAAGAAAAAAAAAATATTCAGACACTGCCTGATCTGAAAACAAACGTAATTATAAATTTAAAAATACTGTCCGGAGTTGCCCTTTAATAGAACTCGTTCAACACCATAGCGTTCCCTGCATTTATGTAAAGCCTTTGGATCCGTTAGCTGAAGGAGCCTCTAGAGTATTGTATACACAAGCCCTAGGAGATGCTACAACTGCCTCGGTATAATGATAGCCGTTCTTACCTTCACGCAACAAGCCCCACCCAGCCACCTCAATAGTCTTCGTGTAGTCCACAGGCTTCCTAGTAAGGCAAATTGTGCCGATCATTCTACGGCTTCCCGAAATGTTAAAAGGTGTGTCCAGCTTTATCAATGCAATGTCGTTGTTTTCGGTCTTATTCTCGTATTCCCGATGAATGATGAACCGCACTGGCTGCAAAACATTGTATTACTGGTTAGAGCGCTTAAAAAGAACCAAGCGAAATATTAGCGAACCATTCTCACTTATTTTATTTAATATGTGTTTATAGCAAAATTGTTTGCAGTAGAAAGAGTTCAGGTATTGCTTAAAAGCATAAATCCCCGGTAAAACGTCCATATGAAAACTTTTCCCGCTTTTCTTTTAGCCTAAAGACGAGAAACTACAGGAATCGCTGACATGAAGATCGCATAACTCACCCGCACACACTCAACAAAGTGTCTTTCATGGTTTTTTTATAAGAATTATGTTAAGCAAAAGAAACCCTGTGTATGTTAAAAGCTTTCAACATTACACCTTTCGTCAGTTATTTCTCTTTTTTTTCTACAAATCGACGAACCACTATTTTGTAACGTGTCGAATTAATTTCAGTCTTTTATTACAAGATATAACAACAACAAAAACATAGTCGTGTAATTGACGCCACTTTAATATGTTAGGTACAATTATTTTTTCGGATACACCCATTAAAAAATCAAACTATCACAACTTCTGCATAAAGCTAAGCAATGCCTTTCTAGACTCCAAATGCATGAGCACAAGAACTGTTGAAACACCAAGAAATAAACCTTGGCTGTCCAGATATGTTCTGTGTGCTACAATATATATATATATATATATATAAATGTTCTTAGAAAAAGAAAATGCAATCGTTTTTATACACATTTATATATATATAAATAAATGTGTATAAAAAAGATAGCATTTTCTTTTTCTAAGAACAAAAAGATAAGATTGCAATACCAAATCAAGTCAATATTGTAAATGCCACTGAAAGAAAAACAAAAACAAAAATCAGCGCGTTTACCAAAAATAATTTGGAAACCTTTGTAAACATGGTTAAAGGGGCCTATAACAATATTTCAGGTTCCGCGCATTTATGTTATTACCCAATAAGTAGGTCGGGGTACTAGAAGAAAAAATTAATACCCGAGAAATATTTGCGCATCATATTTTAATTCGATCAGGCAGAAACCACGCAACGTCTCGTGGCGCACCAAGCGCGCAGTTGGGGACGTCTTGGCAAGAGCCGTCACAATTTCTTTTATACAGATTTGTGCGTAATGTGTTGCAAGTTCTTCAATCAGAAATTTTATTTTGTACCACGGAATAAAGTCATGCTTGGATGGTGCTAACAGGTTAAACTTTCCAAGAAACGGTGAAATTGGTTCTCAAAATGTGCGTTTGAAATATCAGCGCTAGACACAGAAGAACAATTACGTGTATCGTTTTTCTAAAGGAATTGAATTGCAGCTTATTTTAAGTTGAAAGAAATTACTCCTGGGTTGAGTTTCATTTGATACCTATAGATGGTTATTCAAGCCTCAAATTACGTGTCATATATATTGCAGTGCCGAATATTACCTTCTTCAGGCTTTCTATAGAGAACAAAATTAAGAAAAGTTTATGTACGTCGATAAATTGCATATATGTGCAAAGACGGCGGAGGCTGAGCACACAATAAGGTCTCGATTAAGGAGCCACAATGGTTTCGTGATGCGATACACCTGAACAGGGGTTTCCCCATGAATTGTAATTAAGGGTGGTGTTTAAAGTTTCAGGGGGAAAAGGGGGGGGGGGGGGGCCTTGAGAATAGAGGAGTCATAGCGAATTAAGAGGGTGCCTCCATAAAAGCAAGGGAGCGTGTAGGGAAATCACTGCACCTGAAACCACTGAGGTTGTCAGCAATTCGTGACGCATCCGATTGAATTTATTTTTTAGATGTGTCATCGGTGAATATTATAAAATTGATTGACGATTTAGGACCAAACTAACCGAACTCAGAATTCTAGGTCTTGTGGTGGACTCTACGCCTCGAAGGCCGTCCTCATGCCAGCCTTTTCGGATGACGTCTTCTGCTCTTCCGTACGATTGGAGTGCCCTTCGGATAGCTTCGTCGGACACATCACACGGCACCCCATGCAGATTCAACCGCACCTCAGCCTTGTTGGGGTCGAGCACGAGAAAGCGCTTGCCCTTGACCAGAAGTTCTTTAGCTTCAAAAGCTTCTGCTTGGATACCAGCGAGTGAAAGGTGGCCATCCATACGTGATTGATTTGGTATGAACCACAAGCTTTAAGGTCTTTCAAGACCCCAGTGCTCTTCAGCCTTGTCTTAAAGTTGTCAATCTTGTACGGCCGTCCAGTAATGTCGCAGTGCAAACTGACAGTGGTATAAACTACAGTTCCTGTTGGCAGTTGAGGCAGAACAATACGGTAGTCTTGGGACACCTCGTCAGCAGAAAAACCGCAGCCCGATAAGGCCGTTATCACAGCTCCGGCGTCCGCGCTCGGCGAGAGCCGGAAACAGAATGCACAATAATCATTAGGCCACGTGCGCGCTGTCTCCTTGGCCAGCTACGCTACGCGCGTGGCAATATTCCTTTAATGGCATCTAATAAATTATGAATGTATTAATAATATTACAAAATATTAAACTATAAGTATTATCACCGACGTTAAAGCAACTAGGCTGGCGAGCTGGTTAGGGATAGACATAGTAACCCTGGAGCGAGCGAACAAAAAAAGTACTGACATACACGAAACCCCGTGTTTTGGGTCTGTCCAGCTTTATTTGCTCCCTCGCTTCTGGGTTACTGTGTAAAAGGAAACTGAAGCGGTTCTGTATTGCAAGAAAGACATTTGAATCGTCTTCATTTGGCCTCCAAGATCACAAATAGGGAGTACATTTCTTGTTTGGTTTCAATTCGGTGCACGAAAGTTGCATACATTCAGTTTCAAAGGATCGCCAAAGCCCCTCTTTGTCGCAGCGGGACGTCATATTAACAGTTTTCGGAATCTCCTCTCTCGAGCATCTTCACCACGGATTAAAGCTATGCAGGCGTGTTCTCGCTATCTTCAGAACGGTAAGAAAGAGACGTCACGACTGATCTCAGTCCGGGGCAATACACCTGGCAAGCTCGCAATTGCACTCGCTGCCCACACGAGCGACATGCGCTTGGCGGCCGAAGGATCCTAGCATGACGTACCGGTTGATCGGAGGTTTTTCGTGTTTTCTCACGTCTCATCTCAGGCGTCTCAGGCGGCGAGAGGACGAGGCCGTTAGACAACGCGAGACAGAAGCAATATGTCGCATGCGGCATGCCTTCGCATTCACAACTCGTAATAAATGACTAGATGCCCTGCGACTTTGTTTTCGGATCTGTGGAGGCTGCTGTAGAAAGAAAGTTTTGCATTCACCAGAGTAAATGACGCGCTGTCTTCTTAGCTGTGCACGCGCGCACAGTTGTTTTAGCTACGTTCAGCTTGCCGATACAGACGCTTCTATTCAAGTGTCACTCGACAGTTGCTGCCGAACAAATGCTGGTCAGCAACTGACGCTTAGCTCCTCCCGAATCGAAGACGTGGCAAACAAGTTTGTCACATCGCGACTTCTGCTCGAAAGAAAAGAAGAAAATTGTCATAAATTGTTAAATTGTTGGTCATGGCCCGACAAATTTAGGCGATTGATTAATTTGTTCTATCCTATTTTTACTAAGAATTCCTTACGAATTTAAAATCCCTCCCTGAGAATAGCATCACGAAATATGCGTATTTGGGTAGGCAAAAATTAAACATACAAGCGTTAGGAAGTTATAGCAGGTGTATACCTCGTTTTCTGGGGAAGGTGAAGTGTTACCGTGACCGATTTACTAGATTTAAAGGTGTACTCCACCGATTTTTTGAGCTACCTCAACTAACTATATTTTCTGACTCCCCGGTCTTTACTCTCTCCGGTATGCTATTCAGAATCGCGAAATTCATAATAGTTATTGCGAAATCGGCAAATGAAAATGATGCAAAAACCAACATTCAAATATACGCGCGCTTTTCAGGGCCGTGACGTCAGTGGCAGGCAGGCTTGCCAGTCGAGCAAGCAGCCAAAAAATAGAATATGCCGATCATTTGCTCCGTGCTGGAGCGCGGGTACTGCAGCGAGCTTCCCAAGCATTCATTTGACACCATGAAACTGCTTCGAATCAGTTTAAAACAAAATCTACAGCCCAAAGAGTGAACCCCTGCCTTCCACTGACGTCACTTTTTCATTGTTGCCAGTAGAGACTTCGAGCTTGAAAAACACGGTGAGGACCAAAACTGTAAATTCAATAACTTCGCGAAAAAACAATATTTTGACCTAATATTTGGGATACTATTTTCGCCATGTTTGTTGGTTAGCTTAGCAAAATTTCAAGCAAATCGGAGACAATGAAAAAATCGGTGGAGTAGCCCTTTAAGGCTTCAATCGCGGGGGGTCTCGCACGGTTCGCGTGAACCGGGTGAAGAAAGAAGGGATTTGGTAAAACGACTCCGGAAGCAAGCCACCGCTTCTTCGTGCGAATTATTTTGAGGAAATGTTGGTTTCTAGGTTTACAAAATTTATAAAGGAATCGACTCGGAACTAATAAGAGACTAGCCTTTCACAAAGCACATTGGAGCAAACCGCAAACATGGGGTCGCTTTCACTGAAGCATTTACTACACAACGCGAGAGGTTCTCGAATTTTACTTTTCTACTTTTAATGTGATGACATATTTCGTTCTTAGTTTCAGTTTGTCCTTATCATAATAGAAAATACTTCCTATTCGTCGTAATAGATGTTGTAGCATGACAAAGCACTAGATATTATATTTTCATTACCCTGCTTTTTGTGCTTAGGCACCACCAACCAAGCCATTCGACACCTCAGCGCCACAAAACTACGCGTGCCACGTGCGGTTTCAAAGTTTGGTAAAATGCCCTATTACACATATCACTTCTTCAAATAAACACAACGCGTAAAACAAGCTTTGCCGCGCGTTACCCGAACAGTGCATGAATCGAGCTGACGAGCAGAGTGATCCAAGATCTGCGCGGTCTGTCCTAGTCTGTCCTATATCCGTGACGTTACATACGATGATGATCATAGCTGGAGAAGCGCTCCCTGTAATTCCCGCACACCACCGATAAGATTCAAGA